AGTAATGATATTTAAAATATTTAAGGTATTTCTGATAATATTTTTACTTCTGGAAAAAGTCTTTTTTTTTTTAAAGGTCAATTTTATTAGCAATAACATTAAAATATCAATGAAAATAAAATATACAATAGAAAAATATCAAGTCAAAATCATGTACTGTCATTGCAGCAAAGATAAAAGAAATCCGTTATTAGAAATGAGTGATTAACTAATATATTTTTCCTAAGCATCTAACAAGTGTTAAATTTATTCTTGTCTTATTGTTTAACGTCAAACAATATGTTTAATATAAATAAATCAAATGTTTTTTTTTCTTATGTTGAAGTGTTCATGCAATTGAAATATTTGCTTTAGCTTTGCATGAACACATTTTATAAGCAATCACATCACATTTAGTCTCAGTTCTAGATTGTAACGCTTCTCTTGCAATATCCCTTATACGCTAAAAACTTAGTGAATGAAACATTTTTCTGTGTTCTCTACATCAGCAGTAAGTAAAGAAATTAAAGCCGCACATCGAGCTTAACTTGAATTCAGAACATTCCTGAGGAGAACACAGAACATCGCCTGAGGAGAAAAAAGCTGAATGTGGAGGAAACCTGTTGAGTTAACACCAGTGCTGCATTCAGTGATGAAACGAATGTCTGGAAGAGTTTGCAGCCTGTCTAAACCTGTTTGAGAAGGAGGAATATGGCTGGAATGCCAAGGAGAAGAAAACCTGCTGCTTTCTGACCTCAAAACACACCTGGATATGAGCAAGCCGTCTAATTGGCTGAGAGAAAGCATGCTGCGCTGTGATTGGTGGAACTGGGTACCCTGAAGGCACCAGTTTAGTTTATTCCTCCAGGCTGTGTGATCTGATCTTCAAAGAAATGTGCTGATGGTTTATAGTCTGTGATTAAAGTCTATTTAAAGGAAAAGTCCACCATGAATGAAACTTCACAGCTCATTTGCTCATCCTCAGGCAATATGGGATGAATTTTTTCTTTAGTGAAGCGTTTGAAGAGGATTTTTAGTTGGTCCTTGGTGATTCATAAAATGTAAGTCAAAGCAAATAATGATCTTTGTTTAAAGTGTTATTAGGACTGGCCTGATGTACAATATCAATTCAAATAAACTCTGCGCATATTTACTGGGTCTATCTGAGGGCCAATCACAAGGCAGAAATATGTGGCAGCAGCCAATCGGCACATTTAATTGAATCTTCTTCTTAAAGCCAGACACTATAAACAGACAAGTCTTCCTTGCTAAAAAATAATAATGTTTTGTAAGTGAATGTTTTTTTATTTCTCTTGTTGTGCAGCACTTCACGGACCTGCTGGATGATTTGTCCCAGGAGGCTTTGCTCGGGCAGCTGTTGAGCGACCCGTTTCTGTCGGGCCGTGGAGATGCGATGGACACTGAGGAGGAGCTGACCCGTGCGTCTCCAGTGCCACCACACATCCAGGCTGAACACAGTTACTCTCTGTGCGGAGACTCACGCCCACAGTCGCCGCTCTCTCATTTGCCTGGAGAACCCGGCAGCGACGCTGGTGAGATTTTGGGCCAGGATGCACATCTGGATTCATTTAGTCTGAATTATAAAGCAGCCAGTTGACAGACAATAATGATAAATAAACTAATTAGTGAGAGAAAAATAAACTAGTGAGAGAAAATTATGAATACAGATAAAAATAGATTATTATTATAATTATTATATTATAAAATATATCTACAACAATATTTTTATGTTAAAATAATTTTGTTTGGCCCATTTATTTCATGTCCATTTTTAAATCAATAATTCAATGGTGGTATTATTATTATTAGTAGTAGTAGTACTAGTAGTTGTAGTTGTAGTACTGGTTTTATTATATACATGTAGATAGGTAGATAGATAGATAGATAGATAGATAGATAGATAGATAGATAGATAGATAGATAGATAGATAGATAGATAGATAGATAGATAGATAGATAGATAGATAGATAGATAGATAGATAGATAGATAGATAGATAGATAGATAGATAGATAGATAGATAGATAGATAGATAGATAGATAGATAGATAGATAGATAGATAGATAGATAGATATACAGCTTAAAGTGACATGTAATTTCTTCACCAGGTTAATTAGGTTAACTAGGCAGGTCAGGGTAATTAGTCAAGTTATTGTATAACGATAGTTTGTTCTGGAGACCATTGAAAAAATATATATTGCTTATAGGAGATAATTAGTGACCTTAAAATTAATTTAAAAAAAAATTATTCATTTAAAACTGCTTTTATTACTGCCAAAAAAAAAACAAATAAGACTTTATCCAGAAGAAAAAAAACATTATCAGACATACTGTGAACATTCATTTACTCTGCTAAACATCATAGATAATAACACAGAGAAAACCGCAGTTTAGCGCCCCCTGTTATGTTTGAAACGGCTAACGTCATTGCACATTTTAGCCAGTTCGAACACAGACCATTATCACCCTAGGTACACTAGAGGGCGCCTCTTCATCTAAGTATCTACAGGTAGATGGCATCAATTTATTTCTTATATGTGGGAAATAAAACATTAATAATATGTGTAACGACATGATTGACATTTATTTGTTTTTTAGGTTATAGGTCAAAGGTCATGTGTGTGTGATAGATAGATAGATAGATAGATAGATAGATAGATAGATAGATAGATAGATAGATAGATAGATAGATAGATAGAGATATACAGATAGATAGATAGATAGATAGATAGATAGATAGATAGATAGATAGATAGATAGATAGATAGATAGATAGATAGATAGATAGATAGATAGAGATATACAGATAGATAGATGGATAGATAGATAGATAGATAGATAGATAGATAGATAGATAGATTAGATAGATAGATAGATAGATAGATAGATAGAGATATATAGATAGATAGATAGATAGATAGATAGATAGATAGATAGATAGATAGATAGATAGATAGATAGATAGATAGATAGAGATATACAGATAGATAGATAGATAGATAGATAGATAGATAGATAGATAGATAGATAGATAGATAGATAGATAGAGATAGATAGATAGATAGATAGATAGATTGATAGATAGATAGATAGATAGATAGATAGATAGATAGATAGATAGATAGATAGATAGATAGATAGATAGATAGATAGACAGACAGATAGAGATAGATAGATAGATAGATAGATAGATAGATAGATAGATAGATAGATAGATAGATAGATAGATAGATAGATAGATATACAGCTTAAAGTGACATGTAAATTCTTCACCAGGTTAATTAGGTTAACTAGACAGTTCAGGGTAATTAGTCAAGTTATTGTATAACGATAGTTTGTTCTGGAGACCATTGAAAAAAATATATTGCTTCTAGGAGATAATTAGTGACCTTAAAATTAATTTTAGAAAAATATTTATTTAAAACTGCTTTTATTACTGCCAAAAAAACAAATAAGACTTTATCCAGTAGAAAAAAACATTATCAGACATGCTGTGAACATTCATTTACCCTGTTAAACATCATAGATAATAACACAGAGAAAACCGCAGTTTAGCGCCCCCTGTTATGTTTGAAACGGCTAACGTCATTGCACATTTTAGCCAGTTCGAACACAGACCATTATCACCCTAGGTACACTAGAGGGCGCCTCTTCATCTACTTATCTACAGGTAGATGGCATCAATTTATTTCTTATAGGTGGGAAATAAAACATTAATAATATGTGTAACGACATGATTGACATTTATCTGTTTTTTAGGTTATAGGTCAAAGGTCATGTTAGATAGATAGATAGATAGATAGATAGATAGATAGATAGATAGATAGATAGATAGATAGATAGATAGATAGATAGATAGATAGATAGATAGATAAAATAGATTACATTATTGTATCAAATTATATCCACAAAAATATTTGTTTATGTTAAAATCATTTCATACCCATTTACTTCTTATTAAAATGTTTAATTGGTATTATTATTAATATTTATTTAATTGGAATTATTTAAAATAAAAATTTAAAGTAGGTGTAAGAAAAACGTATCAAATAATAAAGTAAATTATTTACTTACGTTAACATAAACAATAAAAACAAGTGAATGAAACTTAAATGAAGTTTGTAAGTTATTGTTTAAATTAAAATATTATCATTTTTAAATATTTAAATAATTTAAATGTTATTGTTAAAGACTGAACTCAATATTAACCTTTGAATATTATTTATGTCACTTCGTTGGCAAAGGTTTTATTTATTCATTTTTTTCTATATATATTTGAAGGCAAAATGAAAGCGTATCAAATGTGTAAATCATAATATTATAGCTAAATCATGATGATGGCAGAAATGCAAACAAAGACTTTGAACAAATGCTTTCTGTTCTGTTCTGGAAACCCACTTCCTTTTGCCTTGGACTTTGTTCTTGGTAGAATTGTTACACACACAAACAGCTTCGTTGTAAAAAAAAAAAAAAAAAAAAAAAAAACTGTAAATAAAAAAATTCACAATAAGCAAAAGAAGTCATTTAAATCCCTTTAATATTGTCCTCGTTCTGCAATGTGATATTATAAGCTCATTTTTGTGATCGTTTTAGAACTTCTAGTTCTGTTGCCTATGGGAGAAATGACTAGGAATAATAACAGCAGAAAATCCTCAAACTAATCGCTCTGCAAACAAGTGTGCTCAAGACTTTATATGAAAAAAAGTAGAATAATATAATAAATATCAGTTTGCAACATCAAGCAGCGTAACAAGCTGTTTTTAATGCCTAAAAATGAGACCTGAAATCTTGGGCCAAAAAGATTAATGGTTGCGCCTGTGCCCTGATATAAAGAAAAAGGGTAATAAAGTAAAGTCTTGTTTCCTCAGCTGATTCAGAGTCAGACGAGTGGCCAATGGAGCAGGAGGATAAAGGAATAAAGATGGAGCCTCTACTCTGTGTCCCGCTGCCTGCTCTGACCCTCACAGTGACCCCTGCAGGCTCTGCCCCTGAGCCTGTGATTGACAGCTGTGATTCCGCCCAATCCCTGAGTCTCCCTCAGGTGAAGGAGGACAGCAACAGTCCACAGATTAAACTGGAGCCCCATGAAGTCGATCAGTTCTTGAACCTCTCGCCTAAAGGTAAAAAAAAAGCACAGATCCAGACATGTTTTGCAATTACTGCACTGTAAAAAAACAATAGCAGATTTTTATTACTCTTATTTACTGATTTATTTATAAACTAGATACTTGTCTTTTTTGGAGGATATGTTTGTTTTCAATTAAGACATTTAATTTAATTTAGTTTTATTTTGAGGGGATAGTGGGAAAATAAGAGTGTAAGTATTCTGTGTCTTATTCTGTTTTCATAAACTATGGTCTTGTTAAATACCAATAAAAAATTACAAATAAAAAGTTTAATTCATTGTTTAGTGCAGTAAATAATATGGTATGCTAAAATATAATTATCAAAATATAGTACAGTAAAGGGAGGCTATGTATAATGTAATAATAATTTAAAAGTTTAAATTATTTTGTGGCCATTTGAGAATTATAATTGTCATAATAAATTAAGTATTCATGTTTTTTTGGTTCAGTAGTTTAATATTCAGATTTATTACTAATTTTTTTTAAATAATTATTTTTGTATATTCAGATTTATTTGATTAAATGGCACACTTTATTTATTATTTACAATTATTTAATAATTGCAATTTGATTTCATTAATATTTACAAAAATATGAAGGATTTAAATATTTAATTAAAGCAGTATTTTATTAATAAGAATAATTTGTTTTGTTTTTTTAAATAACTAAATAAATGATATTTGTGTACCAAATTTATAGAGTTTATTTGAAAATAAATGTAAGAAAGTTATGTAATTATGTGTCCTCATCCTACACACCCCCTCCCCCATCTATCCATCCACGCATCCATCTATCGTTCTATACATCAATTAGTTGTACATCCAGCCATCCATCCATCCATCCATCTATTCTTCTATTCTTCTATTCTTCTATTCTTATATATATATATATATATATATATATATATATATATATATATATATATATATATATATATATATATATATATATATATATATATATATATATATATATATATATATATATATATATATATATATATATATATATATATATATATATATATATATATATATATATATATATATATATATATATATATATATATATATATATATATATATATATATATATATATATATATATATATATATATATATATATATATATATATATATAT